TTCCTATCCTTCAATCTCCTATCCATCCTATTCCTTTCCATGCAATACTCACAACTCACCATCATATGAAATGCAACATGTATCAACACACAAACAAACATCACTTTCAGATGCATATGCTTGGAATAATGAGTTGCATGCCATAATACTTCACTTAACTAAGATGAGAAGGAAGGTGATCAGTCTTCTTCCCTCTTAGTACCAATTCAGTATAATGGTGTACAATGCATCATTCACCAAATTCATGCACACACATACCTATATAAACCTCTCAAAACATCAACCTCTCATCTCATACTATAAAATCACTACCATGCTTAAACAACTAATCAAAATTCACATCAACATACAACATGCACAAAGGTAAGTACATTTAAAATCCACTTCTCCATAATCCAATCCGAATCCATATAAACAACATATACATACATGCATACATACATAGATATATATCGAGAGTATATCTACCAAATAACTCGGTATTTCCATGGCGTTACAATATTTTTAAAAAATTATTTCAAAATTATATTAAATAACATCCTTATTTAGTGCAACCATCTCTCATATATGAGATTTCAGCAGCTCCACTCCATGACACTTCACGCAACTCCTCGTTGGTCAGAACCCTTCACCAATCGGAGTTGTCCATGGGTAAATCTTTTTGAGATATTCGTATGCTTTTAGGATCAAAGATTGATCCCACAAACCCCACGAATTAATACAAGACTGAAGTTCTCAAGGAATAAGTTACCAAAGAGCAGATGCATCTCATTGGTATAAATAATACAAATTAATTCCTTTAAGTCATTTTCAACTATATAATCTCATGCTTGTATAATCTTTGAATCCCTTTCATTCTAGTATATTTCACAAATTACAATATAATATAATACTATAATTTTTTTATCTAAATTAAAAATTAATATTTTAGTTTGTGTATTTCACAAGTGACATTTTTATTTATTATAATTAAAATTTATAATAAATTATATATAAAAATAAATATTATAGTTAAATCAATAAATCATATATAAAATTTGTATAAATATATATTAAATGAAAATTAGTAACTAATCAAAGAATAATTAACTTCTATATATAAAACACAAATGTCTCTCTTATATCATAGCGTTTTTAGAGACTTTTCTTTAACTATAAGAATTTTATATATTTTTAATTTTTTTATCTAATTTAGTTTTATTTATCATTATTACTTATAAATTAATTTTATTATTTTTAACATAAATTATTAATAAAAAATAATTACCCACGAACACATTCGTGAGTAATTCCGTGAGTAATTATCTAATTTAATTTTTATTTATCATAATTACTTATAAATTAATTTTATTATTTTAACATAAATTATTAATAAAAATTAATTACTCATGGATACATCCGTGGGTAATTCCAGGAGTAATTATCTAATTTAATTTTTATTTATCATAATTACTTATAAATTAGTTTTATTATTTTTAAAATAAATTATTAATAAAAAAATAATTACTCACAGATTTATTCGTAGGTAATTTCTTGGATAATTATCTAATTTAATTTTTATTTATCATAATTACCTATAAATTAATTTTCTTATTTTTAAATTAAATTATTAATAAAAAATAATTACCCATAGATTTATTCGTGGGTAATCCACGAATTTATCCGTAGGTAATTATCTAATTTAATTTTTATTTATCATAATTACTTATAAATTAATTTTATTATTTTTAAAATAAATTATTAATAAAAAGTAATTACCACAGATTTATTTGTGGGTAATTATCCATGGATACATCCGTAGGTAATTTCGTAGGTAATTATCTAATTTAATTTTTATTTATTATAATTACTTATGAATTAATTTTATTATTTTTAAAATAAATTATTAATAAAAAAATAATTACCCACGAATACATCGTCGGTAATAACGTCGGTAATTTCGTGAGTATTGTTGATAATATTTTTAAAAAATCATTTTAAAATTATATTAAATAATAATCTTGTTTTATTAAAAAAATATAATTCAAAATTGGTAAAATTATTATAAATGTTAAGAAATTATCTTTTAATTTTAGAATATCATGCATCAATATATCATTTCACTAATTATGTATTTCTCAATATAAATAAAATTAACTATATAATATTAAAATATATTGATAGTAAATTATTATTTTATACTATCATTTAATTATAAATTTTATATATATAATAGTTGGTTTTGTAAATTAATTAACATGAGAAAATTAGTTGAGTATTTAAGAATTTAATTTGTTAATCTTTTATCATTAAATTTTTTTAAGTTACCGACGATTTTTTTTCCCATTTTTTATGAGCAATATTTTAGACAGATAATCCGTGGCAAATATCTGTCTGAAACATCATAATTTTTCCACGAAAAAAATTTGTGGGTAATATCCATATGAAATTTCAGACGGAAAAAATATATGGGTAATATCTGTCAGAATCAATTATTTTTCAGATAGACACATATCCATCGGAAAAGTCCTTCGGTAATGTTATTTTTCAAACAGATATTTATCCGTGGGAAAAAGTATGTCGATAATAATTATTTTTTTTTATAGTGGTTCTAAATTAGGTCTTCTAAATAAGACCAAAGAAAGTATTTAGAAAGTGATTTAATGTTTCATTATTTTTAATTAAAAAATTGATAAAAATATTATTTTATAAAATTATTATTTTCTTTTATTTATTAATTATATATATATAATAACCTAAAAATATACTTATTATAAAACAGAATTTGTAATTAGTACTCCTGTCAATAATTAATCAAGACATAATTAAATTTTTAATAACCTTTTGGGATAATTATTATTTGGATTTTATTATTTCTGCCAAGTTTTAATCGGGACATAACAATTTCAATAGACAAAGCCAACCAGCAGTCCAGCAGCATAAAATTATCCAAAGCATTCCATAAATGCAGCTGACTTGGTAATTCCTCCATCCAAAAGTAGTTTGCAAATTTTATGAACAAAGCTCTCTTACCGATTAATAAGGATTGCGATTTTAATTCGTTTAAATTTAAGATTGAATTCTTCTTTCATTTCTTGTCAAATGATCTAATAATTTTTATTTTATTTTAACCATGTTTTTATAAGTATTCATTTTTAGTAGTGCCTTTATCAACCATACTTTTTTTATACACAAAACTTAAACTTAAAAAAATTATTTAAGAAAACAAGTTTAATTTCACCTAATAATATAAGATTCTATCTGAGTTTGCATTTTCTTTATAATATGATAATTTGACACTTTCTACAATCACAAAATTCTATTTTGATGGGTATATTTATTCAAAGAGATTTCTTGGCATAAGATATAAAATTCTTCTAATAGATCTTTGTTAATCTCAATTTAGTAAGTATAATTTTAAGTTAAATTAGATATTATTAAACTTTGACTAATCATAAAATGAATAGTATTTTAATTTAAAGATCTCAAACGTATCATCATTGACCCTGTATTCAATAGTCACAAAGATATCATCCCTATGTACTATTTTACTCATAGAAAAAACTAATAATTTATTGGTAATTATCTTTATCATTTAACATAATGCAGACATCACCTCAAAAAAAAAACATAATGCATACATGATTAGAAAGCAACCATCCCAACTAATTGATTATTATGACAAAATAGTCTTCTTAAAAACTCATTGGTTCACAACCTTATATTTCTTCTATATATCTATTCATTTAGGAGGGAAGCAAATATAGTAAAAAATAGAATTAATATTCTCGTTTATATTAAACATATTTTAACTTACTAATATTACTTCTACATAAGTAAGCATTTAGTTAATATAAAAATATAATAAATAAGGGTTTTCTTTTTAAAACTCTTATTTTTAAGTCATAATTTTAAAACAAATTAATTTTTTTTAAATGACAAATAATTTTAAACATAGAAGATACATTCTTACTCGCCATTATCTTGTTCCTAAATACAGTATAACATAGAAAGTTGAGTAATAAATTAAATTAGGTTTATTTAATGTGGAATGTGTAAAAACTAGCTACTACGTATTAATCAACTTCACTATCTTGAATTTATGAAGCAAGAAACGTAAATGATCATGACGCTACACATTAACGCCCAATATGCATTTAATGCGAATGGAAATGTACTATAACCGACGTAAGCTAATTAATGCAATTGCTATATTTCAGATATTCATTTGCCGTCATTAATTATAGTCTTCTATCGATTTTAGGTGGAGTGATCATCTTAGTACTATTAGAATTAGATTATCTAATTTTATACGAAAGCACGACCATAATATCTCTCAACATTTTTTAGTTAAACCAATTTTTAATTAATATCTATTTTTTGCACTTCCTATGCTGATATTCATATAGACATGATAAATTTTAAATTTGTATGAGATGTTTGTTTATTTTTATTTTATTTTTTTATAACAAAAAGAGATATAATAAGAGGAAAAAGAAGTTTATTGTGTGACGGAGAGAGATAAGGGGAAAAAATTAATGTTAAAAGAGGGTACTCTTGTGAAAAACTACTCCTATAACTTTAGATACTACCTTTAGAGATTAGAGGAGCATTTTCTCAATTTAATTATGACAACATTTCTTGCAGGATCTCTCATTCAGTGAAATTTATGTCCTTATTTTTATATGATATTCAATTAACTTCTATTCTTTTGTTGGACACGGAATATCTAATGAGAATTACATCTTAATTACCATTATATATGTGTCTCAATTCAAGAAAATAGCCATCCTTCTATATATATAAGGCCAATCCAAAGCAGCGAGAAAAGAAAAACGAGAAGAAACCCTTCATCACATAGAAACATACATGGTTCTATATATGTGTGTAATTTTTCTACCCATTTGACCTGTCATCACATACATATATAGAAAGTGATCGTATGCAATGGAAATAGTAATTTAATTTAGCACATTAATACATAATATGCATGTTTGAAAACAAGTTACCACCATGCAAAATGTAGAAAAATCCACTCTCGTTACTGGAAAAGAAAATGAAAATACATAGAAACGTTTGTTACAACTTGAAGAACCATGCTGTTTGGGAGAGCTAAGTGCCCTTCAGACAAAAATGGTCTTGCTTAATCTCAAATCCTTAAAGAACCTACCTAGCTAAATCCTACTATTATATTTATAACAGAATACATAAATTTAGGAAGATCAAGGACACGTACTCTTATTTGTACATAGATATGATTATGATACACTAGGTTTAGGTTAGTTTCTTATCAGTCACCCATTACACATCCTAACAGTTAAATTTACCACTACGTAGAGGTCTATAGGTTAAATACCACTCGTCCACTCCTTGATTTTAACACATAGCTAAACTGTAAAGAAACCTGGACCATATATTCAAGGGGGAATTAAAAGATAATACAAGCTTGGGCCATGCCATGCTACATAAAGCAGATAATTTTCAATCAAACCCATGTCTTCAATTTTCTCATTAATTAACACAACAGAGGCTGCACCTTCTTTCTCTTCAAGAACTTTGAAGGGTTCTGATCCGGTGGATGCATGAATTTGCAGTTAGGACAAGCAGGAGATGACTTGCACAGCATTACCAACATGTGACACCTCATACAAACCGTTGCAATCATCTCTTTGTGATCTCCCTCTGATGATAGCCACGATGGAGGTCTTGTTAAAACACACGAATCATCCTTTTCACAATTGCTCGATTCAATCAACAGACCATGCTTCTTCTTCTCCTTCATGTCATAACTGCCTTCGTTTTTCTTCAGTGACTCACACGTCAAGTTCAGCTCAAGGTCCAGGCTCATTTGACCAAGAGATGGTGCTTCAGTATCAGGGTTTCTCTCTGAGTATGGTGTTTTCAAGTTCATCATCGTGTTGCACAAGTGTATCTGCCCTGACTGCATGAAAATAACGAAACATACATTAGATTAACTCACGAGAACAAAAATAATAAGTAGACAAGGCAAAATAGTTTTTTAGCAACATGGTTGGTATGGTTAGCACAAAAGTATGTAATCAAGAGTTTGATTTCAAGTTCATGCGCATAAAGAAAAGATCTATTGTAAAATTAGTTTTTCTTAAACATATATCAATATCTATAAAAAAATTAGTCTTTTCTCGTATCAGATTCTCTAGGTTGAACCAAAAGTTGAAAATATATTATATATTATACCTGAATAGTGAGGTATTGTTGCAATTTATGTGAAGGTAATGGTGTCTCGAGGTGCAGCTCTATATCAAAGATGGATTTTCTCTTCTCTGCATCCGTTGGATCATGCTTGAAGAATTCTTCAGTGAGTGTCTCCTCTTCCAACTTTCTCTTCCTTGGTGGAGATTCAAATTGTGCAGGAACTTGAGTTATTGGGGTTTGGGCGAGCGCTTTGTGAAAGGAGACCATAGCTTGAATATTGAAGAGTGAACGAAATGTGTAATGAGTTAGAGTTAGAGGTGGTTATATAGTAGGTGGCAGCACTTGAAGGTGGAAGCGTCAAAATTGGTGGTCTTTACCTATGTACGTGTCAACTGTGACATGCTTTTCAAGTTGGCTAATAACCTTTCATAAGTACACATTTTCACACCTTAAGTAACAAGTTATTTATTGTTGATCTAAACGCTACTAGTACTACCTCATTCTTGCGTAAGAAAAATGGGTTCATGCACTTTCCTGCTTCCAAAGTACTCTTGCCAAGACTTGGGTTTAAGATCATACAATAAATGAATCATGACTTCACCTTAATTCAAAGAACCTTGACACGTAACTCCACGCCTAAACTTAAAGTTCTATGGATAGTTTAAAATTCTCTATTTACTTATTTTATGATAAATATTTTTTTTTATATTTTAAAGATATTTTTTTCATTTAATATGTTTTATTAAAGTATTAAGAAGGTTTATAGGAAGAATTTTAGAAATATATATATATATAT